ATGTGTGTGTGTGTGTGTGTGTGTGTGTGTGTGTGTGTGTGTGTGTGTGCAGGGGAGGCAGGGATGCCTTTGCCTTGGGGAGTTTGGGAAGTAAGCAGTAACTAATTGGGAGGTAAGTAATTTCTCTTTCACTCTGTCTCGCTAGTTCTAGTCTGCTTCATTTCCAGAGAGATTTTGATGCAGTTCACTGATCACCTACTATGTACCAAGTAGTTTGTCTATGTTCGTTGTTTCATTTAATATTCACAATTCTCTTGCTATCCCACACACATTTCCCAGAGGATGAGACTGCGTTTATGTAACTTGCACATCCAAGTATCTCGCTGAAGCCAGAGTGCTCGCGCCTGCCTCGGGGGTACCTGGAGCCCTCATCCAATTGTCCCGCTCATAAGTGCTGTTTCCTTCCCTAGAGGCTCTCTGACCTATGCTTTCGTGGTACCCTGTGTCGGACAACCTCTGGCATCAAAAGTTATTCATAATCAGATTTGGGGAAGAGTTTTCTTATTACTATGAACTCTTTTCAATGCTAAACAAATACAATGAAATTGTGTCAAATACTCACGTACCCTCCACCCAGCTTAGAATAATAAAAGAAATTATCAATAGAGTTGAGATCTCCTTTCTATATTTCCCCGGTCACAACCTCCATTCCACCACCACCATCTCCAAGTAACCTGAATATGTCATCTACTGGTCATTTAATTATACATTTATTGCATATGCATATGTTCTTAAATAATATACTGGGAGTTTTTGCCTTATTTTAATATAATACAATTGGTGCTATATTTCCCATAAGGTGTAATTTGTCTGTTATTACTGTGGACGCACCAACATTCTTTGTGTTTTACTGCCCTGTCTACCTCTTGCAATTGTCCTATGTCCTGTGATTTCCGAGTATCTCTTGGAAACAGCACATAACTGAATTACTTTAAAATCCAATTGGATAATCTCTAACTTTTTAACTGGTGAATTTAGTCTGTTTACATTTGTTGTTGTAATGGCTTATGTGATCTTATGCGGCCTTAGTTTTAACATTTTATTTTATACTTCCTATTTTCTAGTTCCATGCTTCTTTCCCCCCTCTTTTTTGGCAGCTTACAGATTGCATTTGAAGGTGGCCTTTTCCCCTCTCTTTGGAAGGGGAAGGAATGTGGTCTATTTTTATTCTTTTACCAGTTACCCTTGAGCACCTGTTATGTGCTCGGAATTATTTTAGAGTGCCGAGCAAGCCAAGTCCCTTCTTTCATGGCTCTCATCTTTTATTATGGAAACAAGAGATAAAAAAAAATAAATAAAGCTGCAATGCACCATATGCTCAACACTATGACAGAGAAAAGGCAGGACAGGGGATAGAGTAACTGGAGAGTGCAGTTATCTGGTCGCCAGGAAACCGGTCTGACATCTCAGCAGGGACCTGAAGGAGGCAGAAGAGCCTTTTGCCTTAGTCTGTTCAGGCTGCTCTAACAAAACACTACATGCCAGGGCTTACAAAGGGCAGAAATCGATTTTTCACAGTTCTGGAAACTGGAGTCCAAGATCCAGTCACCTTCAGACTGGGTGCCTGCTTTCTGGTTCACAGGTGGCTGCCTTCTTGCTGTTCTCACGTGAAGAATGTGCGAGGAAACTCTGTAGGGGTTCTTTTATAAAGGCACCAGTCCCATCCCTGGGACTCCACCCACAGAACCTAATCACCTCCCAAAGCCCTCACCTCCTCGTTCTGTCACACTGGGGGGTGGGATTTCAACATACGGATTGGCAGGGGCGGCAGAGGGGACAGAAACATTCAGATCATAGCGCTTTTTGTATATTGAGTAGCGACCATCCCAGGAAGAGGACGAGCTCCCAGGCAGGGACATGCCTGGCCTGTCTGAGGGACAAAGAGCCTGAGTTCTGAGTGGGAAACACCTGGGAGATGTTCAGCCACGGTGTCAGAGAAGACTGGATGGAGCACACAGGGATGGCTGCTGGCAGACCTCGGAGAGCCAGGAAAGAGCTCTGGACTTTAGTTTGAGTCGGATGGAAAAGGGCACTTCAACCTGCATTTTGGAATGATTGCTCTGCTTTCTAGAACAAACCACAGAAGAACGAAGAAAGAGAGGGAAGACCAGCAAGGAAGTTTGCATTAATCTAGACAACAGAAAACACCAAGAGAGGCAGGCAGAGTTCAGGTTTGGGATGCCCTAGGTTGAGCCGGCGAGATGTGCTGATGGGTGGACTTGAAGTGGGAGAGAAAGAGCCAGTAAGGGACGCCTCCCGGGTCTTAGTCTGGCAGCCTGGATGGGGCAGCCACTGTTTACTGAAATGAGACAAAGAGTGAGAGGCACGGGCTTAGGGGGAGGGGAAACCTGTGAAAGTGCAGGTGTTTATTAGACGCGGGATGGGTTAGTCTCGAGCTACCGGGAGAGATCAGGGCTGGGACATGGGCTGAGAAGTTACTAAAGCCTTAGTAACTGATAGAATTTAAAATTAATTGCTGTCGTCACCAAACACCATTAACAGTACGATGTCTCAGAATGTCCTTTTAACCTCAGTCACCCCTGTCACCTGCCTTTCCATTCTCAGTCCTGGTTTTGTTGTCTGGTATTTTGGTTCTTTGAATGTCCCTCTAATGAGGCATCATTTCCATCGGATCACACAGCAGTGTTCACCTCCCTCAGCCATGTGCTTTTTAGATCATTTTCCTTCTTCTTAAAGAATATCTTGCAAATTCTCCTTCGGTAGGGGTCAATGCTAAAAATTGCTCATTTTTTCCCAAAACTGCGGTTGACAGATGCTGGTCATTGATGGGTGGCTGGCAGACAGACGCCTCTGCTCTCAGCACGTTGACGGTGTTCCTCCCCCCTCCTCTGGCTTTTATTTTTGCTCGTGAGACGTCA